AGCACAGCGCTCTCACCCATTTTTCAGTGTCCCCATCGCGTACTCCCTGTTAATTTCTTTCTTCTTTTGAACATTTGTGAAGCACAGAGAGCACATGTGAGACTGTATAGTGTGGTAAAGTAGGGGGCAAGGAATCCCTTTAGATTAAGGTGTTGTGAAGTGTTTGTGGCATGATTCCAAAGCTCATCTGGCCTGAAGCCTGTGTAATCTCACTGTTTAAATGTTTTTCCAAGAAGTTTTTTTTCTTTAATATTTGCAGTAATATATTTACAAAGGAGAAAATGAAACTAGAAGAGTGTATAAAGAAAGGGAAAGAGCATTATGAAGAGAGTCATCAAAGAGCTGTGGCTGCAGAGGTGAGTCCATGGCACTTGATGAATGACAGCTATGGCATTTGTCATTTGTTTTTGTTTCTTTAGTTATATATGAAGCATAACAAACATGACTGAAAAGTGTGGCAGGTCGGGGATATCTCTGTCACCCATAATCCTGCCTCCCTAAAACAACCACTCTTCTTCCTTGCCTGTAGCTGTGTTATTTTTTGCCTTTATGCTTGTGTTGTTATGTAGATATACTCACAGTGTATACCAAATTTTGTGACCTGCTTTCCTTATTTACTACTATAACTCAATCATTTCCCATACTGTATACTTTGAATAGTTTTCATATTTAATCAAGTGATGTATTGTGAAGTAGCCAATAATAAACATATTTGCCAATACTTGGAAAGGAACTTAAAAATAATCTACCTTTTAAGAATGTATTCTTCCCTCTCCCTAGAAGAATATAAACCAGTGTCAATATACTGTTTGAGAAACTACTGAGACAATCAAATCAATGACATTTGTCTATATTTTATTTAGTTCCTGAAACATAGTTGTCTTTTTTTTCTAGCTGAGAAACAAATGATTTTTATTGGTGTATGTGTCTGTGATTATACTAGGAAAATAAGAATAGGCTTAGCTTATGTCATCTTGCAAACATTAGCCTTTTCAGTTAAGACTTAATTACACAGCACCTTCTAAGAAAAGGGAGAGAAAGAGCCCAAGTATGAATACTTTGTGGGTCCTACTCCTTTGTCTGTATTTCTGAGCTTGTTCACTTCACTTTTACCACCATGTGGTAAGCAGGTTTGCCTTATGGGCCCTGTCACGGTTACCGACACCTGGATAAGAGGCATTAGGGATCATAAGGCTCACATGAACTTAATGGATCACTTGGATCATTAGGCCATTCTACATTTCCTGTAGTGATTCTAACTAAGATGGCTGGTTGGCTTGTGGGGAAGCCAGAGTTTAAAATTTTAAGAGCATGTCCCAGAGGCTCTCCATGCCCAGGCTGAGAGTAACTTCTCTGAAGCTTTCCCATTGCAAAAGATGCAGCCTCAGGGGTCGGTCGTGCTGCTGACCCCAGGCCCCCAACTCACTGTGGAGAGTACCATAGATAACATGCACATTGGTGTGTACATGCACTTAGCCTGGCTCTGTGCTTCCATGTGGCTTAAGCATAAAGCCACATGCACAGTTTCACATTTGCCAAAAAGATCAGGTAAAGTGTGTAATTATGTCACTTTGTTATTCTATTTTCAAATCTCAGTCTGAATTCGTGTTTACCTGAGTTAAGTTATAGCCAAATCAAGTCCTGGTGATTGTCATCATACTTCATTTAAGGAGAAATTGGTTTGGATCATCCTTGTGAGGGGCCATGCTAGTCTTCTCCGTATTATTCCAGTTTTAGTATATGTGCTACCGAAGCAAGCACAGGAATGGGTTTGGAATGTTTAAGTTTTAACCTTTAAAATAGTTTCAGGTTCTTTTTTTTTTTTTTTTTTGAGACAGTTGTTCCCCTTGATAGAGTGCAGTGGCATCACAACTCACAGTAACTTTCAACTCGTAGACCGGGGGTGGGGGGGTGGGGTGTCTGGCTCAGGCTGGTCTCGAACTCCTGAGCTCAGGCAATCCACCTACCTTGACTTCCCAGAGTGCTGGGATTACAGGCGTGAGCCATTTGCCCAGCCTACAGGTTCTCACTTGTCAAATACTTAAATGTCCTCTGCTGTACTGGCAGATATCTGTGCTTGAAAACTGGAAGGAAAGCGAAGTATGTAAGTTGCAGATCATGGAATCTCAAGCAGAAGCCTGTCTGAAGAATCTGGAGCTGATGAGGTAGGGGCTCCACATGTGTTCTTCCCAGCATGCCATTTAGGAAATTAAGCCAGAGCCCTTAGAGAAAAACATTCTGTATATCAGAGAGGACCATTTTGTTTTTCTTTAGTTGTAGAAAAGTCAAAACAAATAAAAATAAAAGACAGCATTCTAACTGGAGATATAATTAATGTTTTGGAATAAATGCATTAAATATTTGAAAAATGAAAATTCACTTTTTCCCCACTATATAGTATTAGGAAACAACTTTTTTTCACATTGACAGTTACATTTCTCTCACCTAATTGTGAAAGATTGAATAGTATTCCAGCACATAAACATATCATGACTTAACAAACACCACTGTGGTCTAATAGTTATTCACAAATTTTGTTGCTATAAGCTACATTGCAGTGAACATCATTATATGAATAGTTAATCTTTATGCACCTTATTAGTCATTTCCAAGCAGTACATTTCTGGAATGAAGATCACTTTTCAAGGCTTTTAAAATTTTTTGCCAAATTGCTTTCCATAATAGCTATTATTCTTTTTTTTAAATTAATTTTCTTATATATGTGTATATTAGGTTTCCACTTTTGCCTTTACAGAATTAAAAAGGCTAAATATAATGACAATAACAAAAAGACTGAGAACAAAAACCTCATGAAGAACGAATGAAGATAAATGCATTCAGAAAAGAAATCAGACAATTGCTGCAACAAAATGTTAAGCAATAATAATAGTAATAATACAAAGAAAGTAACATTCACATTGTTGGATAAAAGTATGTCTATTATAGAATACTCTGATCAGTTAACTTCTTTTGTTTTTTTCCCACAGACTCAAAAAAATAGACAACTAATGTTTATAAATGAAAGTAACAGATAATTTCAAAAAAACAGATCATGCCCAATCTTATAGACAATAGAAAAATACTACAAAACCATTCTACTTAATCTGGATACACCTGGTATTAAAATTGGAGAAAATATATTATTATAAAGGGGAAATTACAAACATATTTCACTTATAAATGAGGATGCAATATGATAAACAACATTTTAACATGTTGAATTAAATATTAACGTGTAAGTAGTGTACTTTGGTCCAGATTAACTACAATTTATATAAGAATTAGTCACTAATTTCTTTCTTATTTTTTTTTTCCTTGCCCACACCCCCTCCCTCCTTCTCTGTCTGGTCTCCCCTTCCCCCATGCCCCACCGTGTCATTAATTGTCTTTATATCAAAGTTGAATATATAGGATTCCTTCTTCTCCATTTCTGTGATGCTTCAATAAGAATAATGTGTTCCACCTCCATCCAAGTTAGTAAAAATGCTGTAAAATCTCCATTGTTTTTGATGGCCGAATAATATTCCATGGTATACATATACCATAGCTTACCAATCCATTGCTGGGTTGAAGGACATTTAGGCTGTTTCCACATTTTAGCAATTGTAAATTGGGCTGCAATAAACAGCCTAGTACAAATGTCTCTATAATAAAAGGTTTTTTTTCCTTCTGGATAGATGCCCAGTAATGGGATTGCAGGATCGAATGGGAGGTCTAGGTTGAGTTCTTTAAGGTTTCTCCATACTTCCTTCCAAAAAAGTTGTATAGTTTGCAGTCCCACCAGCAGTGCAAAAGCATTCCTTTCTCTCCACATCTGCGCCAACATCTGCAGTTTTGAGATTTTGTAAGATAGGCCATTCTGACTGGGGTTAGATGATATCTCAGGGTGGTTTTAATTTGCATTTCTCTGATAATGAGGGATGATGAGCAACACTAATAATAAACAAATGGAATTTAATGAAACTGAAAAGTTTCTGTACAACCAAGGAGACAACAACCAAAGCAAATAGACAACCTACTCAATGAGAAAGGATATTTGCTTATTTTGAGTCAGACAAAAGTCTAATAACCAGGATCTATGCAGAACTTCAATTAATTTATAAGAAAAAATCCAACAACTCCATACATCAATGGGGAAGAGACACGAATAGAAACTTCTCTAAAGTCGATAGATAAATGGCTTCTAAGCACATGAAAAAGTGCTCATAATAGTTATTATTTAACAGTCTTCATGACAGAATATGGATGTATCACTAAGTATATTTTCATATGTTAAATTTTTTCAGCTCTCCATATAATCTTTACCTGTTTGGTTTTTGTTGTTGTTGTTGTTTTGTTTGTTTGTTTTTAAGTAGGATTTACCTGGGAATCCTGGAGGGCCTTACCGGGCCTTGAGCACACCCCTGTGCAGGCTCTCACAGATGGGGTTACTTTTATCTGGGTTTTTTTTTATCATGTTTCATATGCAAGTTTTTCATCCTTTCTGGTGCTTGCTTGTTGGATTGAAATTTCAAAACCTCAGAATTGAACCAAAGATTGTTGGATCACAGAATAAGAGTTTTAGTGTAGAGTTCCTTATTTCTTCATTTTCAAGATTTAATTTTTTTTCATGAGAAAAGTTCTCTGAAGGTAAACTAATACGCTGATTCATATTACAGGAATAGCATAGCTGAGTTTGAGACAGGTGGTGTTCAGATACTTAATGTATTGAAAACTTACCATAGGCTGCATCATGGTTCCTCTAGGAAACAAAAATATGAGACACTCATTTTATCTAATGGCATACCTCTCTTCCATTAAGCCTTATGTTATAGGTAGATTCTTTTGGGGACGCCATGCCATCTGCTTGTTCCATCAAAATGTAACAAAATAGAAAAGGTGTAAAAAGAATGTTCTGTTTTGTCTTTTAGTGATTCTGCAACATATCCCGACATGGAGTCTGATATATGTTCATGGAAATCATTTCTTTCTAATGTTACAAAAGAAATTGAGAAAGCAAAAGTAAGTTATAAAAAACATTTTATAATTCTGTCGAAATCTTTATGATGGTTATAATTCTCAGGAGGCTATTGTCTTATTGAAGTCATTTCTTTTTTGTAACCATAGTAATACAGTTTTTATTAAAATTATAATTTTTTCATGGAAGTAATTGTATTTTCTTAAGTATGTTAAACTCTGCCTGGTATTGGTAAAATTAAAGAAATTTATGTTTTTTATTTGATTTTCTTTTGGTTTTTTTTTTTTTTGAGACAGAGGCTCAAGCTCTCGCCCTGGGTAGAGTGCGGTGGCGTCGTAGCTCACAGCAACCTCCAACTTGGGCTCAAGTTGTCCTCTTGCCTCAGTTTTTCTATTTTTAGTAGAGATAGGGTCTTGATTTTTTGCTCAGACTGGTTTCAGACTCATGAACTCAACCATTCCACCCACCTTGGCCTCCCAGAGTGTTAGGATTACAGGTGTGAGTCATTGTGCCTAGCCTTTATTTATTTATTTTTTTGAGACAAAGTCTCATTTGTCACCCTAGGTAGAGTACCTTGGCATCACAGCTCACAGCAACCTGAAACTCTTGGGCTCAAGCTATTCTCTTGCCTCAGCCTCCCAAGTCAAGTGCCTGCCACAATGCTCGGCTACTTTTTT